GCCCCCCAGCCCCCCAGCGCGCCCGCCCGCCCGCCAGCGCAAAGTTGTTAACCCCGAGCCTCCCGCCGCCGCCCGCTCCGCATCCTCCAGCTTGCTCCATTCCCCCGAACGCCCTCGGATCCTGCGGCTGCCCGCCCCGCTCCGCCGCCCTCCATGGAGGAAAGTCTCACTTTTGATTTACCAAATATTTTCAGGATGTTTGAAGATCCGTACGCTGCCCGGAGGCTGTTTTTTCTGGATAGCCCAGTCCCCAGCCTATATTGTTACAATTTTTTTTTGAGGGCTGGTTGCTGCTTTGCCTACACTGATGGTAAGTTTATAATTTTAAACATTCTTGGCATTACATCTTTGAAGGGAGCACCAGATAAGAGAGATTTTCATTGTGTTTCTTCTCACAAAATCAATCTTTGTATTTTTCTTTAGCTTCGATCTGTGCACGTTCCACGTATTTTTGTCTGGTTAATTTTTGCCAAAAGGAAGGGAAAAAAAAAAAACAGTTTTTTTTTCTCTGCATTGTTAAAGATAAACATATATAATGAAAATTATACTTTAATTGCTGTGAACTACAGGGGAACTCAGATGTTTCAAGATGGACTTTTTTTGTGTGCCAGCAATGTTGGTAGTGCCAAATATGTGCATACCCTCTTTATAAAAAATATCTATTGCCTAATTTGTCTAGAGTAAATTATCAACAAACTACCGTTGTAGTTTTTGTTTTGTTTTTTTTAATAGACCTATTGTGATTCCCTTGATGGAGTACTTGAATACAAACTACAGAAAGCAGCTCTGGTATAATGAAGGTGGAGATTGACATAACCGGGTTTAAGTTATGGCTGTTGCTAAATAGTGGCTCTTTTATTGCTGAGCTGATCTAACTTGTGGTCTAGGATGTGATTTCTTTAAAGCTCTTTGTCAATTCATCTCTGTAGACCTATCTTACGTTTTCTCCGGAAAGGTACATATGGGAGACATTTTGTAATTTTTGGTATTTTTCTAGTTTTCTTCTTTTTGCACACGGTGGGAGATTTTTTTTTTTTTTTTTTTTTTTTTTTTTTTTTTTTTCTCTTGTTGGTGGCGCTGTAGTGCTCCTCAACAATTTGTCAGTTTTACTAAAAGAAAAAAGGAAGAAAAAAGGTGGGGCAAGATTTTATCTATTATCCTTTAATTTTCATAAAGAAAGTTCAATTTGGTCAGCTATATTATTTAAGCGTTTTCTGTGCTCTGTGCACCGTGGTGAGAGCAGACATGTCGTCACTTCCAATTCAGGGGACATTATGGACAAGCATGCAGTTGGCAGTTGTGTTTGATCTGATCTGATTTATTATCTCTATCAGATTCTTTAATAATAAGCTGTCATTTACCCTCCCTCTCCTCACTAGCGTTTGGTTCTTATATTTTCCTTATTTTACAAAACCATGCTGGTTAGTTCCCTTTCAATGTAACAAAACATTTGAGTATTAGTTCCTTGGACATTGTAAAAGTTGGATTTCATTTTGAATCAGGGAATTCTGAAATACCTTCCTGAGTTTATCTTGAGGATGTTCTAGGAGCTTGTCGTGTCTGTTTTATTTTGAGCTGCTCCTTGAATTGAATTTATAGATAGCCTTGTTTAAAAAAAAAAAAAAAAAACAGCAAATATTTTTTGGAACTAAGATAATTTTTTAAGAATATTTCACACCTACTTTTATCTTAAAAATATTGATGTGCACACGGGGTTACATCTTTGTTCTTGAGAGTTATCTGATTAGAGAATATGGGATTTAGGCCCAAAGCCTGCTAGGAACAAAAATATGTCACAATATGACATCGGTTTTACCGGTCTCTGTAAACATTTTACTTGTTTGTGAAGATAATAGGGATGTCCTCAGTTCAGGAAGAAAGTGGGAGGAATCAGTAATTATACCATGAAACATATTATTTGCTAAATAAAATAAAACAACTGTCATAGCATCTGGATTATCTGATTAATAGGTTATGTCTTGAGAGAGTGACAATGTCAGGAGTTGCTAAGTGTCTTTATTTACTTTGAAATACGTAAATGACCTTTTCACTAATCCTTTAGCAGTGTGGAGTAAAAGAATGTGTGAAAATGAGTAGAAATAGTATTTCCTAGAATCTGTTTATCTCTTTCCTTGAACTTCACAATAATCATACCCAATGCCTGTATTTTGTTTATGCCATGCTCGGAAGGTTTGGATGTGTCCATGGGCACATTTCCTTTTCTCTCTTTGTAGAGTCTGAATGCGGCGTGGCTTCTGATAGTATAGATTATTTATGGAATGAGATATTGCAGGTGTAAATGTATTATCTAACCTGGTAGTGCTGAGACTTTAGTTCTCTGAAGTTGATCAGCTGAATAAAATATACCTTCCAGCACATTTGTTGCTAAAATATTCTGTTCTCCATAATGCAGTAATTTTTCATTTTGTTTGGTTTCTAAAACTGACAGTGTTTGCCTAATGTCACCTCTTTTAAGAGCAAACTGAACTGGGAAGTCCATCCGTAGCTATGCAATCCTCTTTGTTCTCCTCCTGACTATTACATCATTGATTATGAAGTAACCATTAGAGTTCAATGGTTACTTTTGAAAATACCCATAGACATTTCTGTCATACATACTCTTCTATATGTGACCTTTCCATCATTGTGTAAGTAAAGAGGTTTAAAACTATAAGGTAAAAATAATTCCCTATTTTATATTCTCCATTTTAAAATGTACCTGGTGCTTCGTTTTAGCTCTTGATTCTTTGGGAATTAATTCTTTTTAATTGATACATTTTATAGACATTTAGCTCATGGATTTGGTGTGGTTATTCTTAGAATTATAAAACCAGTTTTTCTCTTGATCATTAAAAAATCCTTTATAAAATTTAACATATTGAGAACTAATTCAGTTTTTTCATGGAAGTAATTGCTAGATCATAGACAATCAAAAATTATTTTTTTCAGAATTTTGCTATGTCATTTCAGTCACATTGACACTTTTTGCATATAATTTTATCAGAGACAGGAGTAGCAAAATTGATTCTATTAAAATATTTGTGTGTGTGTGTGTGTGTGTGTGTGTGTGTGTGTGTGTGCTGCCCATCCCTCTTGTGGAGGGAGAGATTAATGAACAGTGAAATGATCAGGAAACAGGTTGCAGAAGGAAGGATACAGAAGACAGAGACGTCTTTAAGTTGGATTCTAGACAATACAGCTCAGAAAAATGAACTTTGATTCTTCAATAATAGGAATAAACTGAAGATTATATTCAGATTTAATGTACTGAACTAGTATAGTTTCCTAATTCCTTCCTGTGTAGTAGTTGTTATTCCCAAGTATTGAGGACATACATTCCAGATTAGCCAAACCCCCTAGGTAATAGGTAATGGTAGGATGAGGCAACAAAGGGAAAAGAAATTGAGATATAGAGGTAAGATGTGGTTGATGCTGACCACATTCAGGGCCAGGCTCCCTTAACTTGGGATGAACTTTTTAAAGGGAAGAATATATACTCTCTGAATGCCACTTCAATCCAGACCTGAAGTTACGTGTTTTAAATGCCATAGTTTTGCCCTTCTTGCATGTGTTTGCTTCTTTTCTGTTATTTCTTAGACACACTGCAGACATTCTGCAAAGGCAATCTACTGTTGCTGGTGTGACAGTGCCAAGGAAAGGAAAATAATATGCAAAATGGGTGTGCTGTGTTCTCACTTGGTCGTTCCACAGTGACCCTCAGACAAAGACGCCAAGCAGACTGTAAAGCAGACATAAGGATTTCATTCTTGAAAAGATAAGCATGTTTTATGCTTGCTGCGTGTAACACCGAATTTACCAGGGGTGTTTGGTTGCTTGAGGTCTACCTCTCTCCATCTATAGGATAAGATGCTGGGTCACAGTAGTGAAAGAGAAGGGAAAGACTCCTTCTTTTATGTAACTAAAACTCCAATATGGCTCCATGTTCTAATGTTTCAGATCGGAGGCCTTAGATGTGGGGTGTTCCCATTTGGAGCCATTGGTCATTCCTCTAGAGGAGAGAAATGTTTAAATTTTGACCTGCTATATGGATCTGACAAGTGTCCTTCCATTAAAGGATCATAATTTGGGCAGCTAGTAGTCACACCCAGGTTGGGGAAAGTGATGGTTGGTCTTCATGTTTAGCTATAACACAAACAGATGCTACATAACCAGAGAGCCACCTGACATGCATTCCCATTGCAAAGCAAGAACAAAGCAAAGAATACAACATTGGCTTATTTGTGTGAGAAAGCCCTTGAGAGGGTTCCCTGCTAGGATGGGGCGTGTCTCTGAGCACCATTTGTTTGTATTGATGGTTAGGATTCAGCCCAAAGTCCTTCATGTTAACTTTAAAAAATAACTGTTAAACTTGAGGCTGAAAAGATGACTCAGCTGTTGTTTAAGAGTACTGACTGCTCTTCCAGGGGCCCAGGTTCAATTCCCAGTACCCACATGGCAACTCAAAACTTTCAGTAACTCCAGTTCCCAGACATACATGAAGTGAGAACACCAATGCACATAACAAAACAAAACTGTTAAGAAGGGTCATGGTGACACAAAACTCAGTACTTCAGAGCCAGCCTGGGCTATAGGAGATTGTGTCTCAAAAAGAAAAGAAAGAACCCAAAACAAAAAACAGCAGCAACGAAAAGATAATATGTAATGATTTTTATTTTATTTATTTTTGGGTTGGATTTTTTTTTTTTTTTTTTTTTTTTTTTTTTGAGACAGGGTTTCTCTGTGTAACAGCCCTGGCTGTCCCAGAAGTTACTTTCTAGACCAGGCTGGTTTCAGACTCACAGAGATGCACCTACCTGCCTCTGTCTCCTGAGTGCTGGAATTAAAGGTGTGGGCTACCTGGCTCATGATTTTTGTTATTTAAATGTGTTTTCTACATTTTACTCCCATAGGCATGACTTAAACTCACTGTGTTCATTATCAACCTTTACAGTAATGTACACAAATAAAAAGAGTAACAAAAAGCTATATCTAGCAGCTCCTTTTAATATGTATTTTTATTTTAAAATCCTCTGTGGAAATTTCTAATGACATATAACAGAAAATTTAAAGACAAAACAAATATTTTATGAAATTAATACATTAGACATCTAGCTAATGTTTACTCCACTAAGCAATTGTGGATCAAGAAAAGTCAAATTAATGTTATTTTCTGCACAGACAAATTGAAGAAGGAACAGATAAGGAGTTGTTGCAGTGATTTAAGATAGCAAACTTTGTTATAGAACCTGTTACCTCATACTAGCTGGGTATGTTAACCACCTAATTTGTTTTTGTACTAATATTGAACTC